AAATCTAGGCATTACTTTCCTCAAAGGTGGATGGACAGGGGAGTGGGAATGGAGACAGAAACAGAAAACGGGCTGGAGGAGGAAACGGGGAGACATTCTGTGGGGGAGTACTCAGAGATGGAGTTTATCAGAAGTCCAAGCCCTGTTTATAAGTGAGGGGAGGGGCCTTTAACATCCTGGTCTCTAAGCATCTGCTAATTGTCGTGGGACAGAAGGCTCCTAGTGCCTGTCAGGGCTTCATTCCATCAGTGGCTCAGCAAACCCTCTCTTGCAATGGCAGTTTTGTTTCTGTGCTCACTTAGTGACCTCAGAGCAGTGACATGGTCTCTTGTAAGGATGACTTCTGGGAATAAACACTCTAAGAGTCTGAAAGTACAACTCAGCGTATGCTAACATCACAGGTGGCTGCACAAACCACAGTGCCAGGGTGGAATGTTGGCTTGACCTCCGCCAGGGCTGAGAATCAAGCCGATGAAAAGATGCCAGTCACTAGGGTGTCCATGGTAGTTCACCCTCTCAGAGATGATTGAAAGTAAATCCATCAGAGAACACAGACCAATCTCAAACAAACGGTAGTGAAACTTCACCTTTATGCTGAGCTCAGCTCGTGGGACATTCAAACAGTGGAATTCCATTTCTTGTGTTCAGGCATTGGGAAGTAAGAGTCTGATGATAATTACCAGTAACACTTGAAATGTGTACTTTGAAAACACTAGTGGCCTACATTTAAGAGATGTTTAAGTTTAAAAAGTGTGTGTGTGTGTGTGTGTGTTTGTGTGTGTGGGAAGCACCCTCAGTCAACAAACATCCTCTAGGACTCTATATCTGGAAATGATAAAAGCCATTGTTTAGTTTGACAGAAAGTGATAATAAGGACCCACTGCCTCTCTAGATGGGGAGAGAAAGATCTTTTCCTTGGAGTTGTACACATAGCACCATTGGGTGTGGTGAAGAACGTGTTGTGGGTCTCACAGTCACCAGAGAGAACTTTAGCTGCTCTTACCACAAAAAGCAAGAACTGGGGGTGGTTTTCATCATTCTGCATTGTTTTCTTTTAAGTGTTCTCACTCTCTGTGTGTGCACAGATGCCAGAGGTTGGCTTCGTATGTCTTCCTCAATTGCTTTTTAATTTTTGAGAAAAGACCTCTCGCTGATTCAGGAGCTCATGAATTCGGTAGATTAGTGGCTCACAAATCCCAAGCATCCTCCTGTCTCTGCCTCTCCAGCACTAGGATTGCATGCATGCCCTGCCACATCTGGCCTGTCTCCAGCTGTTACGCCGGTGCCGAAGATCTGTTTCTCATGCTTGTGTGGCAAACACAAACTAAGCCATCTCCCCAGCCCATCCATACTGTATTCACGAATCACATTGTTGCTTTTTAACCACACCAATATATGCAACTGTATTTTTAATTAAAAGTGAAAAGGAAAGGTTAACTTATGTGTGACTGTGACCCTGGATGTAGCCAGCTGGGCTTCAGAAATGGGTACAAGGCAGGAACTTAGGACTTGGGAACACCAGAGTGTCATCTCTGACCCCTGTGTGAAATGGACAGGACTTGGAGCATCTCAGACCCTTGGTGTTTCTTGAATGAAGTACAGTAAATACACCCACTAAACTACGAGGATTAGGGAGTGGTCGTTGTCTGATGCATGGCATCCTCTCACATGATCATCCAAATTGGTATTTGGAAGACAAGCCTACAGTTAACGGGAACAGGGCTGGGGATTTGTTGAGTTGGGAGAGTGCTTGCCCAGTATGTAGCACTCGCTGGGTTTCATCCCCAGCACCGCGTGAAACTGACTGTGTGGCTCAGCTCTTGGGAGGTTGAGGTTGGAGGCTTAGAAATTCAAGGTCATTCTTGGCTACCTTTCAAGCTGGGCTTGCATCATTTCTCTGTTTTATAATTTAATCCCTTGGAGGCACGTACTTGCTCTTGCTAGGATGATAGGCATGGCTGGGTGAATGCTGCCCTAGACAGAACTCAATAGTTGTTGTGGTGAGGAATGTTGACTGCCTTATGTATGTAGCAAGACCCTGAACAGGATGCTTCCAGTTCACATTCTGCTGCCCTGCTTTTGAACTTGGGCATGATACAGTGTCGCTTCCATCAGCGACACTCATCTCATCTCTTCCTCGTCAGACCCTGTGGCTAAATTTGTTTTCAACCTCACAGCAACCCACCAAGTGTCAAGATGACAAAATACCAGAAGCATATAAAACCAAAGAGGCTAATCCACTTGCCCAAAGGCATTTAAACACATGTTGGACTTATGCCCACTTTAGGGGGTACTCTCACATGGCTAGAGTCATACTTAGTTTAGGGGGTAAATCTCAAAGCCCTTGTTCTTTCCGCTTTACCTTGCTGTTCACCAAAATATTCTCTGAGTTTTAGCTTTAATATTTCTTGCTGCTGTAATAACATTTGCCCTTCATACTTCATTAATTTGTTAAGATCATTAAATGAGGATACATGTACACAAAGGCTCCATACCAGGCCATGGAATGTTGGTATATTGCTATTCTCTAATAAGATTATTTAAATGACATATTTGTACATTGATACACAATAATAAATTCCACAGTGGTTGTGCAATGTTTACAAATGAAGTTGGATTTGATTTGGGATCAGAAAAGGGACTGGCAGAGAAAAAAGAAAATGTTTACTGAATATGTACTAATAATTATGACTATGTACTAAGTGTCAGGTATGTGTAGTACTTCACTTAATAAAAAATATTATCAATACTAAATAATTGTCAATCTGGGTCTTTGTTGATGTTGTCCCATTATAAAGATGAAGAATTGGGTTGTAGAGATGGCTCAGTGGCTAAAAGTGATTGCCATGGAAGCACGTGGGCCTCTGCTTAAATTTCCGGAACTCACATAAAGCCTGGAGCAAAGACTTACTGTAATCCCAGTACTTGTAGGGTGAGATAAGAGCAGAGACAAGAGAATATCCTGGGCAGCTAGCATTGCATAGCAGCAACAAAGAAGTCACTGCCTCAAACAAAGTTGCAAGACAAGGACCAAAACACTCATTTATTTTTTAATCTCCACACACATGCCAGGACCTGCTCTCTCTCTCTCTCTCTCTCTCTCACACACACACACACACACACACACACACAGAGAGAGAGAGAGAGAGAGAGAGAGAGAGAGAGAAGGAGGGAGGGAATGAGGGAGATAGAGATAGAAAGAGAGATAGATGGAGAGACAGAGATATCTTTTAGAATACAGGAATTGAGGATCAGAGAGAAAAGGACATACTCAGTCAAAGTAGCAGAGTGGCACTGTTAGGACCCTGACCCACTCAGCATCACATTCTAGGCAACATGACTCAATCAAAGCATTGATTGAGTCCCCCAAATGGTGTCCTCCAAATTATAGGATAGAGCTGACCAGATGGAACTGAAAGTGATAGCCCTTGGCTTTATAATGGAGTTCATGGAGTCATCTGAGAGGTCATCTCCTCAGGAGACAGGAGCAGAAGTGCTACTTTACAGACATCTGGGCTCAGAAAAGACCCCAGAATGGACTCAAGGACACATTCTACAAAGCTGCAAACACACACAGCTCACTTTCAGCAAAAAGCCCTTGGATGAAATCAGTTTAAGTTTGAATTCTTTTTAATGAGTTCTTTGCTGTGTAAACAATCTTGGTCATGATCCTTGGATCACACAATCTCCCATCTATGAACCCAGAGAACAAGATCCCTAAGGCTCAAGGCTGGGTGGGAGAGTTAAGTGAGTTAGTGCAGGAAGTGTGGCTGGCTGGAGCCTGAGTTAAATCAATGCACTTTCCCTTCATGCCTCTCTAGGGTACACTTTATGTGAGGCCTCTGGGAGGATTTCTAAAAGTTTCCAAGCTGTTCCTCCAATTAGCCAGAGCTACCATTGTCTTCCTGGTGTTCAAAATGACCATCCCCTGTAGTTTGCCTGAGTCCCAGAAATCAAAGTACACCATCACTGAAGGAATGGGGCTGTGCCAGAATTTAGACAAGAGGATTGACACTCATAAAAACTGTAAATTAGTATCAATAAACTCCAGTCATATTTATCTTCTTAAACCAGAGCCTACACTTTGATGGCAATTCTTATGTTTTTTTTTCCCCACTTGCTGAAGTTTGTTGTCACTATCTTCTGAGAAAAACCTGGAAGAGATGCCTCCAGGCACCAGTGGAGGATAAGCATTTTATCCCTGCTTTATCTAACTCAGGCTCCCCTGTCCTGGGAAGGGAGGGGCTCTGCCTTATTCTAAAGCCTACATCTTCTGCAACAAAGCCAAAGGAAAACCATATTAGCTTAGAATATCTATCTATCTATCTATCTATCTATCTATCTATCTATCTATCTAT